TTTAACCTTTTTCACTATCTGTACCTCTGTTTTTTCTGAGATTTGTTTTTTTTGTTTATAAGTTTTTTAACTATTACCTTGGTTTTTTCTGTTTATTTTTAATCCCGCCATCTCTCCATACTGTTTTATCTTTCCCCATAGTTTAGAAATCATCTCCAAAGGTTCTTCTAAGATAAATACCAAATCATCAGCAAATGCTTGTAGCTTATATGTTTCGCCTTTTATTTCTAGTCCTTTAATTTCCGTATCTTGTCTGATATTTCTATTTAAGACTTCCAGAGTAAAAATGAATAACAATTAGTGGACATCCTTGCCTTGTACCTTTTCTTATCTCAAAGTTCTCAGTATAATCTCCATTCACTTTCGCTGTTTGTTTGTTGTATATTGTTTTTATCATATTTATAAAGTTCTGTCCAAAGTCCATTATTTGTAGTTGCTGAGTCATAAATTGCCAGGAAACATTGTCAAATGCCTTCTGGGCGTCTAAAAATATTAGTGCCAATTGTTTTCCTGGATGTAGTTCAAAATATTCTAATACGTCCATTATCACTCTTAAGTTGTTTTTAATTTGTCTCTGGTAAGAAGCCGTTTTGATCTGGATGTATAAATTCAACTAAGTATTTTTTCAGTCTCTGCCATTATTGAAATAAAAAATTTATAATCCACATTAAGCAGCGAAATCGGTCTATAATTCTTGATGTGCGTCAAATCTGAATCTTCTTTTGGTATTAGAGTAATATTTGCTTCCATCCGTGTAGCTGGAAGTTTAGCCTCTAACAAAAGTCCATTACAAACATCTTTCAGCGGTTCGCTTAGTATGTCTTGTAGATTTTTATATAGCTCCACTGGGAGCCCATCCCAACCCGGTTTTTCCCATTTTTTTGTCTTTTTATGGCCTCTGATATTTCCATCATTGTAATCCTTTCTTCTAACATAGTTTTAAATGTCTCTGGAATTTTTGGAAGCTTACTTTCTTCTAGATTTTGAACAGTTCTCTCTCTTGACGTTGCCTCTTTATCATACAATTCCTTGTAGTATTCCTTAATTATCTTTTTTATTTCTTCATTTTTGAATTGTAGATAGACTTTCCCATCTACTAAATTGTGTATTGTTTTTTTTTCTCTTTCTGTTTTTTAGGTTTATAAGCTAACCATCTTCCTGGTTTATTGGCATTGTCAAAGAAATTCTGTTTTGCATCTGTTCTGCCACTTTTTCTGAATCCAACAGATTTAATTAATGTTTTATTATTTCCATTTCTCTTTTCAAAGTCTTTTTCTGTGGATTTTTTTGTAGTTCTTTTTCTAACTTTCCAAATTTTTCTTTTAGTAATACATATTGCTGTCTTCTATGTTTATTTTTCTTTGCCATATACATTATAGCCATGCCTCTAAAGTATGCTTTGGCTGTATCTCATAAGTTTTGTAGTGTTGTCTCTTCTTTGTTTTCTTTAAAGAAAAATTCCATTTCTTTTTTCGCTAGCTCTATAAATTCTTTTTCTTTTAGTATAGATTGATTTAACGTCCATCTTGGGTTTTTTTGTATTCCTCTCCATGTAACTTTTAGAGGGTTGTGGTCTGCCCATGTGCCTATTTCTATCTCAATTTCCTGTATTTTCCTCCTCAGTTCAGATGTCATCCAAATCATATCAGTTCTTGACCAGGATTGTTGGCTGTTTGAGTAAAAGGTATATTGTAATTTTTGTGTGTTAATTTCCCTCCAGATGTCTTGTATTCCAATTTCCTCTGCCATATGAAAGAATGTCCTAGGTAGTCTTCTTCCGGTTTTTCCTGTTTTATTGCTTTTATAGTCAATTGTTCCATCTACTATTGCATTGAAATCTCCTACTAAGCAAATATTTTGGTACTCCATTTTTATTATTTTTCTATGTAAGCTTTGATAAAATTCTTCTTGATTNTGGGAGAGACTAAAATGTCAAGGCCTGGAGACTAAAACATACGAAGAACGGTTGCAGGAAATGGGTATGGCCAGTCAAGAGAAAAGGATTAGGGTTGACATGATAGCAATATTCCAGTATTTGAGGGGCTGCCATAAAGAGGAGGGGATCAATTTATTTTCCAAAGCCCCAGAAGGCGAGACAAGAAACAATGGGTGGAAACTAATCAAGGAGATATGTGCATCTTATGGTCAGGTGCGTCTTATAGAGCGAAAAATACGGTAATTTAGAATCTATTGTCTCTTTAATATATACAGCGACCCCTCTTCTTTTCTGGTGTGCTGATGCATAATAAAGTTTACCAATTTTTGAATATTCCAATAATTTATGATGCTGTTCTTTTATATGTGTCTCTTGCAAACAAATTATGTCTACATTCAATTTCTGTAATTTCCTGAAAATTTTGTTTCTTTTTGATGGGGAGTTTTATTCCATTTACATTTACTGAAAAGATTCCATTTTCTTTCTCCATTTCCATTTCCATTATTTATATTTAGGTCTAGTCGATCTCCTAGTCCTCTGTTCTCTGGCAGTTCCTTCACCTTTGCCCTCTTGTTTGTCTTTCTCTTTCTGTTCTCCTGTTTGTGCAGTTGCTCCTTGGGTCGTCTCTTCCAGTTCCTTCACCTTTGCCCTCTTGTTTGTCTTTCTCTTTCTGTTCTCCTGTTTGTGCAGTTGCTCCTTGGGTCGTCTCTTCCGTTTGCTTCCGTTCCTCACTTTCCCCTTGTCGTTGTTGCGCTCCTTCATCCAAAATTGCTCTATTCCTTACTTCGAAGTCCTCTGCTTTCCAGATTGAATCCAGTCAATATCTTGTGTTGTTCCAGTTTATTAAAATGCCTTCCGGCATTAGCCATTTAAAATTTATGCCTTTGGCAATCAGCTTTATAGTTAAAAAATGGTAATGTCTTCAAATATCTCTTACTCTTTTGGGTATCTGCTTTAAAACCACAGTTTCTTTATTTTTATATTGTAATGGCTCGTCTCTCACTTTTCTCAGTACTTCATCCCTTGTTGTTTTCTTTATAAACCTTACATGTACTTCTCTTGGTAGTCTGTTTTTCCTTGCATAGCTTGAGTTCATGTGGAATATTTCATCAGCCTCCATTTGAATTTCTCCTGTATCTGCCTTTAAAGCCTTTGCCAAAAGCTGGATAATCACAGCTGCTGTTTTCTTCTCTGTCCTCAGGGTTTTATCAATATCCTATGATTTATTTTCCATGTTCTGAATTCTTTGTTCATTTTTAATTATCATTTGGTTTTGAGCTTGTGCCTTTATATCCAGGATTTCTTGGCTTACTTTCTCAAGTTTACATTGTGTCTCTTCATGATTTTTTTGCATCATCTCTTGAATCAGTTTTAATGAGGCCTGCATTTAATTTTGGGCAGTATTTGCTTTCTCACGTTGTAACATTGTTTCAATAGATCCCTGGGTTGTTGGGCTAGATCAGGGGTAGGCAACCTTGGCTCTTTTATGACTCATGGATTTCAACTCCCAGAATTCCTGAGTCAGCTATTCTGGGAGTTGAAGTCCATGAGTCATAAAAAACCGAGGTTGCCTACCCCTGGGCTAGATTGTCCCACAGAGGGTGCAGAAGAGGTTTTCTTCCTAAGTCTGTAAAATGATGTACTCATTTTACAGCTTAGACCAAAATCCAAAGTATAAAAGGGAACCAGCTGTTTTAGGCCAAATCCACCTCCACCAGTCTAGCCTTCCATTTAAAACGTTCTCTTTCTTCAGATGGTGTCTGTTTAGTTTTAGCCAAAGTCAACAAATGTGGCTATGAAAGGTCTTTTTCCTTGTAATTTCACACCAAGGCACTTTTGTTATTTGCAGGTGTCTTTTGTTATTTGCAGGTCACTTTTAAGAACACTTTTTTATTCTTTTTTTTCCAGTGTTTGTTGGTATTGTCATTTCTTCTTTCACCACTAGATGTCCTCTTCAGCTTATTTATCAATGTCCGATATTCCTTAAAATGCTTTCCTCTTATTATAATTGCTCGCTGCCTTTAAATTAATCCTTCTGGAGGTCTTTACTTTTTCAACTTTTCCCCATCAGGGGCTCAATGTTTATATAGTCCACAAGGAGAAGGAAAAAAGAATTCTAGCTCACCCAGCCTCAGCACGCTGTTGAGAATGTTTTGCGGAGCTTCCCTTCCGGCTGGGGACGACTTGGGCTGTCTCAGCTCACCCAGCAGCTGTTCTTCTGCCCCTTCAGAGTGGTTCTTCAGTCCGCTCAGATCTGCTGCTACCCGATCTGAGCTCCTGGAATGTCCCTCTTTCTTCGTTGCCCCTCCAGGGCAACTTTCCAACCCTTTAAGGGTTGCTGGGCGAAGTGAAACCGGACTGGGAACCCGGCACGCCGGCTGCTTCCATCCATCCTGTCGGCGACCAAACCGGAAGTCTCTATTCTCTATTTTTTATATTCTATTCTCTATATTCTATATTCTATTCCCCAAACTGGTGCACTGATGATGTTACCTAGTTTGGGTAATGAAACATCTGCAAGAAAACAAGCAGGCTCAGAGAGCAACAGCACCCCTCATTTCAATCCTGAGATACAAAGTTTCTCCTTTATCTGTTGTAAATAAAATGCTGTTGCTTTGATTATTGTAAGAATAACCAAATAATACATATATTGTGTTTCCCTGAAAGTAAGGCCTGCCCCAAAAATAAGCCCTAGTTTTGGGGCAAGTCATACATCAAAAAATCTGGTAGATCCACTTCACTTTGTCTGCCTGAAATTTCACTGATGCTTTCAGATAATATAATATCTTGGTTCATTACACATACTCTGGCTAGAACACTATTAAATCTGTTAATAGAAAGTTAGTGGTGGTTCCAACTCAGTTTTTATTTTTATTTATAATACTCTACTACAAATAAAAGCAGTACTGTTAGTATATTCCTGTTTACCAGAGGATATTTTTGTTCCTGTGCTTTTATTACATGGAATTTGAAGGGAAATTGCCTAGGTTTCTCAGGAAATTGCATAGGTTGGCTTTTTACCAATACAGAACTTCTTATCATTAGTTAATTGTTCTCTGTTGAGGGAAAATATGTCTCTTCCTCTGTTCTTTAAGTTGTCCACCCTCCTGTTTTTTGTAGGTGGGGATGGCTCCATTATCCCAATGATGGAAACGGATGCCCAGCCATGTTTGCTCCTAAGTCCAGAAAAAGTACCCAGCATGGGCAGCAGTGACTGTAGGGCACAAGAAAGCTGTAAAAGAGAGATTGAAGAAACAGTCACTGGTTCCTTTCCCAAGAAACCAAGAACGGATGCTAGCAATTCTTACAATAATTCAGAGCTCTCAGCTGATCACCTTAAAGAAACCCAAATAGTGGATCTGCATAGAACAGGGGCCAAATGTGTCCGAGGAGAAACAATGGATTCCCGAAGGCCAGGCATTGAATATCATACCATAGGGCTTCTACGGATCAAGCCAGGCCGTGGAGCCCAGACAGCCTCCATGTCTTGTAGTGATAAACTGGCACGCTGGAATGTTCTTGGCTGGCAGGGAGCACTTCTGATGCACTTCCTTCAGCAGCCTATCTACTTGTCAGCCCTGGTGGTGGGTCAGTGCCCCTACAGTCTGGAAGCTCTGCACCGGGCCATTGTTGCAAGGTGAGTGAGTTATAACTAGGTGACTATGATGGAACAGCACAGCACTTGAAGTTCCTCTGTTTGATACACCCACGCAACAAGATAGGATAGCTGGCCTTTTTGTAAATCCTCACCATTGGAGTAGTTGTGACAGGATGGCAAGAGATGTAGTTATCTGGAAGAGTAAACCATCTTTTTAATTTATGGGGATTATTAATGATGAAAAAGATGTGTGCACCCAGGCCTAAATTTTCTGCTTACTCTTATGCCAGCAAGGTCCTGGATGACTGACATCTTAATGTATTTGGAGAGGGTTTGTTTTCAAAAATAGGTCTTCCTGGTAACAACTCTGGATGATTTTTTTTCAAGATACTTTTACTTAGTCTGTCCCAACATATATATAGAGAGAGAATGTCTTGGGCAAACTGGTAGAAAATGAATGGATTAAGCTTAGTGCAGCCATTTGGCTTCTTGTATTTTAATCTTCTAGCACAATCTGGTTTTTTTTCCCTCCACTCTGGTGGGTAAGCAACAAAATGAACATTCTGTCCTACGCATCCTGAATTTGGAGAGATGTTTATATTGCAAAAATGTGTGATCTTTTTATATTAAGCAAATTAAGACCCTGTTCATATTTTATTTGGCTATTGCTGGTTACAAAAGGAATAAATTAATTGCTGAGGGACAGAAAACTGTTGTTTTTCTTATTTTCTGCTTCTCCCAAATCGTGTGGTGCTTCCAAGATTTAACATCAAGAATGGCTTTAATAATCCCACAACTCTCTTTAGAGCTTTAAGGGATAGAAACCTGTTTAAAATAAGCAAAGGACAGAAGCAATTGGATCATTGACTGTCTCGCTTCTATTGCCATATTTTAACTGCTCTGTGAAACACATGAGTTGGCCTAGCCTTGGTCTTTCTCTTGTCTGCAAAATCTTCCCTGTTCTGAGGATTGGTTTATGCTGATATAGAGGATGTGTCCAGAATATGTTTGCTTTTTTACACCAAGTGAATGACCTTTCATTATTGCTGAATAAAAGGCGAGATTGGCAGCAAACAAGTCTAATATAAATAAATATTATATTATTCCTCCCCTCCTTCCTAGATGTCATCTGGTCTCACATTTGCCAGATGGTTTCCAGGTCCATGAATTGGAAATTCTACAGTCCCAGCTAGGTTTCATCCATAGTCATGAAGCAGCCAAGTCTGGCCATGTTCTGGGACAAAGAAAGGTAGTGTCCTGCGGTGCAGGTAAATGTCACGGAGGCTATATGAAGGGGGTGAATTTGTGAGACTTTTCTTTGCCCTTTCACATCCTTGCTTATTAGGATAGGTTGTGGTGGGCTGGTTTGTTGTGGGAACTGCATCTTCGATCTGTTACAAAAGCTGTGCAGGGTCTTTGAGCAAATTCCTATAATGACCATTTCCAGTGGTGTCACTGTGACAGAAAAGGCAACTGATGAGCTAAGAGAAAAAGGCTTGATTAATGACAAAGAGTGTGGTGAGTTTTTGTCCTTCTAATGCATGTTGCATGGCCACCTACCTAATAAACATGTTACTAGTTGAGGAACTGATTCCTGATTGACATTTTATTTACTTTGTAAATTGCCTGATTCCCAACAGTTGTGGGCAGTTCATAAAAAATAAAACTACAAAACAAGAATGCAGCAATAAAGAAGAAAAAGATGGCAAAACTGGCCAGCAGCAAAATATACACACTCCTCCAAAGACCTGCCCATCCTAGCCAAAGGCCCGGGCAAAGAATCAACTCTTTAGGGTCCTTTGAAATGCCAGTAGGGTGGGAACCATCCGGATTTGGGGGGAACTTCATTTCAGAGGGCAGGTGCTATGACAGAGAAGGTGCACTTTCAGGGTCCTGACAGATGACATTGTTGAATTGAAGGAAACTGAATTATACCAAGCCTGCCTGAACACAGCAGCCCTGGAAAATAATGTAGGCATTCCCTCAAATAGCTGAAATCACAATCAGTTCTGAGAACTTGAAAAGACTCCTAGAAATCAGCAGTTATTAAGAACCCCTAGTTAATAGAACTGTATGGTGAGTCCGATCTTGAAAGATAGAAGGAAGATCCTTATTAAGGCAACAATCAGATAAACATAGCTTAAGTCCAGGTCAAAGAAATGGTTTACAAAACTTCTTAAACCATCCCCTGTGAAGTGAAGCACATTGAGACTTGCAAGATTCTGTTACTGTAGCAGTTCTAATAAAAGTAGCTACATGCTATTTATTTTTTAACCTTGTATTCTTTATAGTACTGACAAATTATGAGAGTGACTTTATTTCTAAGCCTGTTCTCCAAGAAAACAGTAATCTGAATTTTATGGAAAGTTATGAAAGGAACTTGTGGTCCTTGGACACTGTCTGAGAGGAGGTGTTGTTTGAATTCTATACTAAAGACACTGTGGAAAAGGTTAATTCCTATAAGAAGTTTTAAGGTAGCTGTAAAAGTTGAGGGAAGGGACTTCTAGAAAAGCTGGTGAAGTAGATTTCCTGAACTGTATGCAGAAGTAAAATCATACTGTGTGGTCGTCAGTCTGAAGGAATTGTTTTGCAGCAATAGAGATAGCACCTGTTTCTTTGAAAGTAACTTCTCTTCATCCCATTTTCCAGCTATCAGTTGGAGTGCTGTCCCAGAGCACCCATTAGATGTCACTTCATGTGGTTTTAGACAAGGGACCTCCAAGAAAAGGATTGGGAGTTTGACCTCCAGGTACATGTGCCTCTGGACCTTTGTGTTGAGTGTGGAGTTCACAGGGGTAGATGTGTGTGGGGGATTGGAAAATCACTGTATGATCTTCCCCCCCAAAAAAAGGATTTGAATGCTCTGGCTGTCAATACTTCATCCTGGATGTCTTTTGAAAAAAAATTATGAATAATTTGCTTATTGTTTAGTTTCTTGCAGAGTTGCTTGAGGGTCTTATGTAGCACTGTATCTGACTTTTACACACTGACTTTAAAACATAGTCCTGGAAATCCATACTATTGGATTTAGAGAGCTTCAGGAATTCATATTAGAAAATTGCAGAATGGTTTGTTTTTAAAAACAGAAACCATTCTCTGTTGAAAATGCCTTCCTTTTTCTCTTGCCCCTACTGCTTATACTCTTCTGCAGGCTCACCTGTGGGCAATGTTTTAGCAGCCAAGGACTTTTAAACTTCCTGATTTTTCCTCCAATTTCTGTAAGGGCATGACTTAAATTCCTACTATCACCAGTGAATACAGCCAATATTTAGGAGCAATATTTGGGCCCCTTAAAACCCACATTAGGGAAAATAATGATGTATGGGGTGAGTAGAAGTGTGTTATGGAGATGAAATGAAGACTTACATTTCTGCTTTGCCCTTAAATCTTGTGAGCGAACAAGGCTGAATTTTTCAATTGGTGGTGGCAGTAGATGATCTGGGGGGAATATAAAATAGATGGGGCTCACATGTGGGAAGTTGTTTCCTCTGCCTCTTATAAAAGAATTGAAAAACTGCCATCCCCTTTGCAAAATGTCCTAAGAAGGGTTAAGAATTCATTGTAAAATTCTGAACAGTTTATGAGACTATGAAATAATTAGATGCAATGTGATGAGCTTCTGACTAGGCAGGTCCACTTATTGATGATATCCTGAAGTTTTGCCAGCAACTGTGGCTGGCATCTTCATAAGTCAAAGTGGTCTGCTTTGTAACACACGTCTTGTGATTGGTGCTGGCCATGAAAGTCTCCATCAATATAATATATAGATTAGTTGATTGAATAAATAAATAAACTTTAAATGCACTCTTAATATTCTTTGTCCTTATTTTGGATCCAAGTTATAGTTATTAAATATTTGCTTGATGATGGATGGATTTTTAATTTCCTGTTGCCTGTGCCTGACTTATTACTTTGGCATGTCACGTGCCTCTTCTTGCCAACAAATTCCTGTCTGCCTTTGCTCTGCCTAGAGAGTGATTGAAGTGTCCTTGTTGCGGTTCAGTAGAACAGCCATTCGGATGGCAAATGGAATCATCCGGTTGATTGAGAAAAGGCAGAGTTGGAGCAAATAGCCTTGCATGAGCTTTTGCTGACTGTTTTCTGGGGGAGGGGATAAGCCATGCTGGTTGTATAGTGATCATGTCTTCCTAGGACAGTCATATGGCATAAATTGCAATTACCTCCTCCCACATATGGTTTGTTTATGACAAAGCAATTAATAAAAGTGTGCATTTAATAAGGAACAAATTCACATGAGCTACACATTTATGTGATATGTCTAAACTTTGCAGCTGTAAAATGATTTGTGCTAAGGTCTAAAGTCATTTGGGAGCATGTAGAGAGGTGATAAAACCAGCAAGGCTCAAAGAGCGTTTATATACCTTTGTGTTGCACTTTGGTGTTTTTTAACTGGAAATTTTACAGCAGACAGACTAATAATTAGCTTTGAAAGGGTAGATGAACTATCGTGATCCCCCAAAAATAAGACCTGGACTTATATTCTTTTTTGCACCAAAAATGCATTAGGGCTTATTTTTGGAGAATGTCTTATTTTTGGGGGGGGGGCAGAGCTGCCCCATGCACCTGCTTACTTGAGGGCCCCCACACCAGGTCACTCCCCGCTTAGTGACCTCCCCCACCAGTTCAATGACCCGCCTGCCTGCCTGCCTCTTCCCTTTCACTCCCCTCCCAAGCCTCACTGCCATGCTACGAAGGATGGACCTTTCCCAGTCCCCCTCCGCCGTTTCAGAGCCAGGGGAGAGCAGTGGCGAAAGGCCCTGCCACCACTGCACAACAGCTACATCTGCTGCTGGAGCATCTTTCTTCGGTCCCCACCGCCCTAGCTTGGTTTTTACGCGTGTGCCTCACCCCACCTATTACAACCAGAGGGCGGGGTCTTAACTAAGGCTTATTTTGGGAGTAGGGTTTATATTAGGCGCATGCATAAAAATCAGGCTAGGGCAGTGGTGGCGAACCTATGGCACGCGTGCCAAAGGCGGCACTCAGAGCCCTCTCTGTTGGCATACGTGCCGCCACCAGCAGCAGGTCCATCAGGCCGCCACCACCGCCCAGAGCAGGAGCCCTGCCCAGCACAAAGGAGGTGAAGCGGCTGACTAGCAAGCTCGAGTAGAGGTGGTAGAGCAGAGGTCACCAACCATTGTCGATTGGCGGACTGGAAGAAAAGGGAGGGGGAAGTATTTTACATGTGCGTGTGCACGCACAGGGCCGCGAGTATGCACGCACTGCAAATGAGATGGGGCTAGTGCCTGCATGATACTCACTAGCCCTGCCCCATTCTTGCTTGGTGCAGCGTCTTGTATCTGTACCCCACGGCGCAGCGGTGGCTGTTTTTGTGCCTTGCAACACGGTGGCCCATTTTTGCGCCCTGTTTTTTCCGTGCCCCCCATGAGGGCACCACAATGCTGATGGGCCCCTGGCACTTTGCGATAAATAAGTGGGTTTTGGATTGTGGTTTGGGCACTTGGTCTCTAAAAGGTTTGCCATCACTGGGCTAGGGCGTACTTTTGAGGTAGGTCCTATTTTCGGGGAAATATGGTAGGTAGAATTAGTTTAGCAAATTTGGGTAGTTTTTATAGGATGAAGCTCCACCTGAGATGTTGTTGTTGTTGTTATTATTATTTGTTGGAAGAGGCCTTGGAGGTCATCTAGTCCAACCCCCTTCTCAGGCAGGAAACCCTATACCATTTTAGACAAATGGCTGTCCAGTCTCTTCTTAAAACTTCCAATGTGCATTTTTGCTGCTTAGAAAATGAGTAGTTTGTGAGAAACTGTAGGGTTGCAAACAATCTGTTAATCAATGTATGAGTGAGTATCTGATGTGGTCATTCTGGAGAGGGTTTTGTGATTGCTAAGAGTTAATATTGACTTGAAGCTCATAGTTAATTGGTAGGCATCTGCAATACTCATGGTTAACCCTGAAAGTGTTACAAGCAGAAGTTGGATTTGATGCATGCAAGATTTATCCACCAGCCAGTCAATACCAGGCTATCATAAATGCAGCCTTCAATAAAAGGGTGATGCCTACAGTTACTTGATGTCACTGAGCACAAATATCACCAGTGTGTGTCATTTCTATACTCTCCAAAATCATTTGGGTTAGGTGTATGTGGTGCATATTGGTATGATACACCTGATATTTGATTCTGAACTATGAGGTTTAGGAACAGTTTTTAAAAGAATTTTCCAGCAATGATTAAATGAGTATCTTTCAGAAAAGAATTCAGATGCTGGATTCTGTTGTCATCAGCCAGCTACACCACTTCTGATCCCCCAACATCAATTCTCTTGGTAGCTGAGCATCTTGCAGAGAAACATAAATATTGGAATAGTTATTGTTGTGGTCTTTTGCTATGGGAATTTGCTAGAAAGTATATTTGATTGGAATTTGCTGTGCTCTTACTGACAGGTCTCGAATTTGCAAGGTGGAACTTTTCCATGCTTTTCTAAAGGTGGTGGCCAGCATTCCTCTGAAAAACCTGCCAGAAACTCTCACGTAAGAATTCTTCCAGGACTTGTTCTAACACCGCATTAGTCTCTTCTTAGATCATGTCTCTCCTATGTCCCCTATCCAGTGCATCCAGTTTTTGATTTTCCACTGTTGTGCATTGCATGTTTTGCTCTGATGCTCTTCCTTTGCCGTTTTGAACCTGAATGTGCACATGAGGGTTTTAAAGATCAACTTCTTTATACTGAGTCTTCCCTGTTGGGAGTGCTGCTTTGCCTCATTCCCATAGCAGCTTAGCTTTTCCTGTCTTTTACCATCACTGATCTACTTGATGGAGCAGGTAAATTTCTGAATGACGGGTTGACCCTGGTTATGACTGATTCCTTGGGGAATTTTGGTCACATGCTCCTCACGTTTTCACTGTGCCTGCCTTTTTCAAAAATATTTTTCAAAACTATAACTTGCCCTAAGCACATTTCCATGATGAGCAGGCAGCTGCTTTCTGCTTTACATTTGCACGAGGGTTTTTTTCTGCTCCTCTGAGAATGCAAAGATTTTTTTTGTGGTCCTTAAAGGTTGACAACTGCCACTTTCAACACAGATAGTTCTTGGGTTACAACGGCAGTTAGGGATGGAATTTCCATTGCTAAGCAATGCGATAACAATCCTGGCTGTCCCCATTGTCATTATTGAGGATCGAGGATTGTTAAGCAAGGACCTCGTGTGATGGCAACTTGCAGTTTCATGCTGGCTTCCAATAAACAAAGCAAATGGGAAAGCTTGTAGGAAGCCACAAGTCCCAGCAGTTCAAGGCATTCCTGAAGCGAAGGTGTCATCTAGATTTCATATAGGAGGTTGGGCACAGTATCCCAGAAAAATACTATTTTGTCCTTTCCTGAATTTTCTGCTTCATTCCTACCTTGGATGAGGGAACCAGATAGGGAGAATAGGCTGAAATATATATAGACCGGCAGGTATCTGGTTGCCAAGCGATATAGGACCTATGAAGGATCATCTTTTGCATAAGTCTTCACAACGTTGCATTCTTGTCATTTGGCAATCAGCTAAACCCAGCCTCTCCAGGTTTGACATTCTGTTGCATAGCTCAGGCAATTCAGGTATCTGTGCCAGTTCTTTGGGGGAGCAAAGACCAGATCTTGGTCTTTAGAGCCTTTCCTGGAAGATGCCACTACAAGAGAGCCCAGAATGTCAGCCAGAGTTGCTAATGGGCAGGGACTGGTTAAGGGGCAACAGATATTATAGTAGCAGCTTTGTTATCTATCTACCTGTCTGTCTGTCTATATCAAATTTATATAACTGCCCATCTCACAAGAAGCTTAAGCTTAAACCATGAATGGTGGAAAGTTGATTGTTTATTGTGCAAGCTCTATAGGGTTAACATGCTTAGCAAACGTTCAATCTGATGATTACCTCATAAGAGGGCCAGTCCTGTCAGAACCAAATTGAGAAATATTTGGAAAGCCTAGGTGCCCTTATAGAGGTGATTGCTTTTCTTCCCAAACTTTTGTGAAACTGAGCTTGCCATTGTCCAGCTTGTTTCTTTGCAAGGCAGTGAACACTCTCCCTGGATTCAAGCCATGTGTTCTGCGGTCTTTTCTGTGCAAGAAGGCAAAACTGCCTGTGAGCTTTTCTCCTGTATGCAGTAACATCTTTATAGCAAACAGATGGTTGCAGCTTTTGGCAAGACCCAAGAAGGGTAGTGTTGAATGTTTGTCCAGTCACACCTTGAGCCAGAAAGCAGAGGAGTCCATCCCAAGTATCATTTGCTCTCTTTAGAGCCAAGAGACTGCAGACATACTGGGAGTACAAAGAAGCTGCTGCTTCATACCAAGAGGCATGGAAAGAACTGCGCAGCCAAGCCTTTGGTACCTGGGTGAGGAACAGCCACCATTACCAGTACTTCATATGAAGGAGAGAAGGAACCAAGTGATTGTGTCTGACTTTGATGACGACTTACGCATCTCTCAGCTGATTAGCACAATTAATGCTCCATTTTTAGCTAATACTAAGAGCATGTCAGTGCTTTTGGCACTGTTCCTCTGAAAGTGAGGTTTTCTTCCAAAACACATTTTGGAATAAAGTATATATGCTCCTTTTCTTCTGTTTGTCTGAGTGTTTATCCTGTCTGTGTATGGAAATACATGGTGGATTTTCATTGAGATCCATAATTTTTGGTTAGGAGTCTCTGAGGCTAACCCCATCTTGAAAACGGGACAGAACCACATTCTGAATTTGGCAGGAATTGACAGCTGTCCTTGCTACCCTCTGGATCTGCAGTCACAATCTATATCTATCTATCTATATCTATATCTATAAATAAAAATGTAAATGTTCGTTTATTCAAAATCTTAAATCTCCGAAAGTTCTTCACCGATTGCTTTGAAATTTTGACAGTGTTGCATTCGAATACGCACATTTTTATATACCTATATTATATAGATGTCACACCTGTGACAGGTAAAAACATGCTTTTTAAAAAAAACGCCATCTGTTGGACGTAAAAGCAACACACGCTTTTACCAGACTGAGCCACAGCAACGCGTGGCTGGGTACAGCTAGTAATATTATAATAACCCGCGGGCCCCAACCCTTCAATATTTACTCCCTGGATTGTTCTTTCTCCATGTCAGTTTTAAGGATATAATTTTTGACAGGGCCTTAATGAATTGTGACAACCAGTACCAGCCTGTACTATCTTATTGCCACTGTGATAGTAATGTGGGATTGTAATAGGGGAAATTCACCTATCTTATCAAGAGGTGGCAAATTTCAGAGTTGTTAGAAAGGACAAGAAATGATAATTGTAAAGACATGAAAAAGCAAGTTCTCCAAAACCTCCAAACTCAGAAGTGGTCCCAATCTCAAACTGATATGCAGAAGGATACTAATGGACAGATAGTGACAGATTTAAGGAAGATCAAACAAAAATTGAAGTGAGGGGTCCTTGGTGCTCTCTGAGCTTGCTTGTTTTCTTGCAGATGTTTCATTACCCAAACTAGTAAAAAATGTATATTATATCCCTGTACGGCAGGACTATCAACATCCAAGGCACCTTAGAAATACTCCATATTTACAAGAACTTCTAGTACGATAATAAAAAATCAAGTTATATCAGCATTGCAGTAATTATCAAGTCAGAAGGCTACAAGAATTGATAGAATATATTTTGAAATTAAGCAAGCAACAGAAGAAGAATCAGTAAAGGTTCTACCAAACCATACCAGCAAACCTGGAGATCAGCACAGTGGCCCACAGATTGTTAAAGGTTGGTTGACATATCAAGACTAAAGAAAGGAGATTTAACTAAGAGTGCAGACTATTATATAGTTCCTTAACACTTAGAATCATGAGCTCAGATTAGAGTCCTGTATGAAAACAAAAAATCCAGATGTCAAGCTGGCCCTAGAAAAAAACCCAGGGAATAAAGACATTGCTGATGAACACAGCATAATTTAAAAAGTCAAAAAAATAACAAAAAAGTCAATATATTTCAATGACTATGGAAAGGTGTGCAGTTGCGTCAACTAAGTCAAGCTGTGCAATGTCCCTAGGAAAATGGGGATTCCAGAATAATATTTGTCTTCATGTGAAACTTATGTACAGGGTAGGAAATGTCAATCTAGATTGTGAAACAGACTAGTTTCAGTTTGGGTTATGGACAAGGACAGAACAGCTGTAGATGGCAGAAGATGAAAACCCTGATTCCAGACTTCCTCCCAGCCCTAGAGTGCTACGTGTCCACGTGACCTATCATGCAGCAAGGACAAGCCTGTTGTTGATTGCCTGCACTCAGCGCAGGCTTCATTTAAAAAACAAAGCACTACTGCCAGCCTTTTTCTGAGAAAACTCCTTGGAATCTGGAACAGTTTATGATCTCTGCATTTGGATTTTTTGGAATGTGAACTGTGACTTGATCCTCCCACCTTTTCCTTTGGGCTTGGACTGAGTGCACTGAAGTTAATTAGAATTTGGAACTTTGGTTGTATTTGCACCAGTGGCAGTTAGCCCTACTTCTGAGTAAGACAAGTAAAACTCTTACATGTGTAACTTGAGATAGAACATATACTGAAAAGATGAGATTACAATTAACTACAAATAACAAATTAATGACAAGCAGCCTTAGAATGGACAATGAACACACTGAATAGTTTCAGCTTTGACTATCAACTGTAAAAGAATCAGCAGTTAAGAAATATAGCAGACTAGTTCTTGGTAGGGTAAAATGAAGACCTTGGAAAAGATAGGTGCAGGCAATGGTTTCTCTTTTGACACTACAGAAGTAAAAAAATTGAAAGCAGGCTAGGAGGAGTATTTGAGAAAATTATCTGTGGTTGCCAAGGACTGATACTGACTTGATGGTAACATAAGCACAAATGAAACCAATTGCCTCAAGTAGGGGAGAGTTTCAGGCAGAGATACTATATTTAGAATAAAATGATTGATACTATTCAGCTGAATAATTACAAATTTAAGAAGGTTCCTTTCTATCTCCTAAAGCAGTGATGGCAAACCTTTTAGAGACCGAGTGCCCAAAAACGCCCTGCCCCCGCTCCATCCCCTACCCCGCTCCCGCCCACACCCCACCTGCCCGCAGGGCCACTCACCGCCTCCAGGGCCCGCCACAGATCGCCCAAGCAGCCCATGGCCACGCCCTCTGCCCGCACCCCGCAGCATCAACTGCGTGATGGGGCATGAGAGCAGTCTTGTCCACGCTGCCTGGCCGCCATGTCCTTGGCTGCACTGCTCCGCGTGGGCCACGCTCGGGGGCAACTCTCCTCCAGAGGGGCTGTTGGTGAGGAGGGGGTCGCGGGGGGAGGCAAGGCTAGGGCAATGGCACATGTGCCCACAGAGAGGGCTCCTAGTGCCGCCTCTGGCACCTGTGCCATAGGTTCGCCACCACTGTCCTAAGGGAATAAAAATAATTTAGCAACCTCTCTAGGGTGTCCCTGAATGATTTTGTATTATTTGAAAATGTATTTTATACACTTAATCTTAAAATGCTACTTTATAAAAAAGGAAAGCTGAAATACATAGCAGTATTGCAAAATTTTTGTGACACTAACTTTAATTGTTGCTTTCTTAAGCAAAATTCAATAACACGCTAACCAAGATAAACATATCAGCATCCTTAGGATATTACGGAACTGCAATTTCTATGAAACTGTAATTATTATGCTAATATTTAATTTCAAAATCCTTCTCCCATCATTAATTCTTTATCTATGGTTGCATCCGTATTTGGACAATGCCACTAAATATGTCCCAGCAGAAAGGATGAAATGGAATTTACAGCTATGGTTACACGTGTAATGGAAAAATAAAATTTTATAAGTTACTAAGCTAGCAAACAAAAATCTTATCAATATATTAAATCAACCCAGTGACAAATGAAAAATGCCCCTCAGGGTCATGATGAAGAACGAAGCTATTTACAAAGCAGCAGGATGGAGATGAAATCAGAAACCAAAGGTGTTTTCTCCACTGTAAGCCACGTACAAGAAGCCATCCTCATCCTTCTCCTTCTCATAAAGCTGTCCCATGGTTAAACTGTAAAAAAAAAGAAAGCAGCAAGAAAACCATCACCTACCAATCCAAAAACATGGAGTGGGTGGGTGAGAGGAAGGAGTGAGTAACCCTGCAGACCTAAGTTTTGCTGCCTGATGAGTTCTGAATGTATGAATTTGGATACCTTGTTAAACAAATCCATTAAATAAAGAGGTTTAAGCTGTTTCCCACAAGAAATATACAGTTTTCTCTTAACTGTCTCTGGCTAGAGAGAAACCATAGAGAGCAGTTTGAGATAGCTTTTTTGTATTTTGGTGCAAAGTCAAAAAAATGGGAAGTAACAGAAAATAAGGTCCTCTATAGTGGATTAAATAGTGCAGTAGAATGAAAATGGAAACTTGATACCAGTTTTCTTAAATTAATCCCTAACCTTAATCTGATTTTCAAGTACAAGGATTGGCAAGTGGTGCACATCCCACCCTGGTGTGTTGGCTCCCACAACCTTATGTCACTAGAGCTTGATTAGAGCTAATAGTTGAGTCTCCATGATAAGCACTTTGTACGGGGATAGGGGCATCAAAGCAACAGAACCAAGCAGGGTTAATTATTGGAAAATATTAATAGAATTTAACATGAATGTCATCTAGGAAATGTTAGCCCTATCTAATTGAGAGAAGAAATCTGTTCTACTTTAGAAAGTGGCTACATCCACTATCCAAGATTTTGTAGGCGCACTCCACAATTTCCAGAAATTAAAGGCTGACTTTTGTCCTGTTACTACATACGACACCCCACCCCCGCTCACCTAGATTGTGGGACAGTCTTGTCTACAAAGAGAAATATGGCCTTCTCGGAGGGCAACTGGATCCGCTTCCTGATGATCCACATGAACTGAGCCACGGTTATATCCGAGGGAACCAGGTACTTCCTCTTGTCGATGTCCACAATCTGGGATCCAGAGACCTTTTCGACTATCACCTGCTTGGAGACGGAAGAAATTTATCTCGGCAGCCCCCCCCCTCCGCCCCCCTTCAGCCCCGTCACGCGTCGGACTTTCTAGGGACGATCCACCGGGAGAGGGTCGTGGGGCCTCCCGTTCCCTGGGAAAGAAGGGCCTGCCGCTCCTTGCAGAGCCCCCCCCCCGCCAGAGCCGCTGCCGGGAGGAAATGACAAGGCTGCCCCCGCCGCCCGCCTTGAGCATCCCGAGCCGCCTCGAGCGCCCCCCGGACGGCCTCTGCACTCGAGCGAAGCGCGCTTCCCGTTCCGCCGACTCACCGGGACGCGGTCTGGGTACTTGGCCCGGATCTTGGCGGACTCCACGCATCGATGCTCTGCGGAGAAGGCGAGGAGAGCCGCGTCAGCTGGCCTAGCCCACCCACCCCGCGGGGCGGCGCGGCGCGGCGCGGCCCGCTTACCCAGGGCGTGGTCCTCCTTGAACATCCACTTCATGGTCGGGCGGTCCGGCGGCGGGCGGGCGAGTCGGGCCTGTAGTACTCCAGCAGCTCTTCGGCAGCCGCATCAGCCCCTCTGCGCGCGTGGGGGCGGGACTTCCGCCGACACTCCGCGGGCGCGCCCTCCGCCGCGGCGATTGGTTGGCAGGGCGGCGCGCCCGTCGCCGTGGAGACGTTCGGCGGCATGGCCTGGCTGGAGATGGCTGCGGGCGGCGACGGGCGACGCGGGCGGGCCCGGCTGTGTTCCCTGGCGGCGCTGGGGCTGCTGCTGCTGGGCGCGCTCACCTACGTGCCGCCCCTGCTGGTGGCCTACCGGAGCCACGGTGGGTTCGGCGGAGGGGGCGCCCCGGGCGGGACTGCCGCTCGCCCGCCCCGTCTCACTCGCTCTCGGTCTCCCCGCAGGCTTCTGGCGCTCGCGGAGCAGCTACGCCGAGCAGCCCATAGTCCGCTTCCGGCACGAGATGCTCCTGGCCGCGCTGACAGAGGGCGGCGGCGCGCCGGTGGGCTGGAGCTCCTTCGCCGCCTGTAATCGCCTGCTGGGCGGCCGGCTGCGCGTCCCGCTCGTCTCGGTACGGCGGGAGTGGCCGGGCTGCGTCGCTGCCGTCGCGGCGGGGACCGAGCCCCGCTCGGGAAAGCGCTGGGGCCGCCCCCGCGGGAACACGTTCCTGGGCAGGGTCGGGGTCCGCGTGGTTGCCTGGCAACGGGCCACCGTCCAGGGTGCTCAGCCCGAACTTTGCTTAAGCTGTATCTGTCCGGTAGGCGCCACGGTGGCCTCCCAATATTTCTTCTGTGTTCCAGGCTCGGGAGGAAGACTCTAACCGGGATGGAGTAATGGACCAGCTCCGTTTTCAGCTGGAGCTTCCGCTGCTCCCCTCCGAACGAATCGTGGGGATTCAGCTCCTGCTGACTTTCTCCTACGAGTTGCACGTGAGTGTCCTCCGGTGGCAGCGGGGAGAGTCTCCCCAGCAGCCCTTTCGATAGGAGGACAACTGGCTTGCATTGGTCTTTTAGTGGTTAACACTGTTGCCTTTCCCTGGTTTTTGTTTGAAGCAGAACAACATTTCTGTCCCATTAGGTGAGAGCTCCAGGCATTTAGCTTCAGCAGAGACTGAGATTTAATGCAAAACTTGGGCAGAAAAACTACTGTTCAAACAGAAGGTCAGGGCATACCTCTTAATTTTGCCCCAGAGAAATATTCTGCTGCTGAGAGGAAGGCTGAAAAGGAACCTGTTGCATACCTATTAAGTACAATATTGTCAATTATCAGAGGCTCTGGATAGCTAATTATCATTTATCTCCTCTAAAGCAGTGTTTCTTAACCTTGACAATTTTAAGGCATGTGGACTTCAACTCCCAGAATTCCACAGCCAGCATTGCTGGCTGTGGAATTCTGGGAGTTGAAGTCCACATGCCTTAAAATTGTCAAGGTTGAGAAACACTGCTCTAAAGCAGAGTGATAAAGCAGAGCCAGTTTGGTCTAATGGTGAAGCCTAGAAGCCAGGAGACCCTGAGTTCTAGTCCTGCCTTAGGCACAAAAAAGCTGGCTGGGTGACTTTGGGCAAGCCACTGTCTCAGCCCAACGTAGGTAACAGGATATTTGTTGTGGGGAAAATAGAGGAGGAAGGAGTATTGTCTGCGTTCACTGCCTGGAGTTATTTATAAAAACAATAATGGCAGGATATAAATAAATATTGTAAGTTGCAGGTCTGGAGAGAAACTGAGCAGGGAGCTTAATAGTTACAGTGCTCAGGATAGTTTCAGAAAACTACGAAACTGCATAATCTAGGAAAAATGGGAGCATTTTTTGCGGAATACTGGAACTTTCATGTAATAAAATTGAATGGTGAGAAAAGTAGGATAGATAAATGGAACTCTTTATTGATTGGTGCCAATTATTTCACTAACTTCTATGCCGCCCTTCTCCCCACGGGACTCAGGGCGGCTCACAGCATATTAAAAACAACACAAAAAACATTTCCCCTATAAAACCAATTAAAAACCAAATATATTTATGGCTGTGTCATTATTAAAATCTTTAAAAAATTATTCCCTATTTAAAATTCATTGGGATGGTTTAAAAGGCAATCGTATTTATAGAGGACAGTGCTTCCTATGTATAATGCAGTAGTGGGTGTGGTATACACAATATATCTAATTGCTGTTTCTGAGGAAATGTGCAGTTCTATTCATGTCCTATGTTGAGTTTATGTCTTGTGATTGGTATTGAAATAGAAATGTTATTTGTTGTGGATTGTACATTTTTTAAAATGTTCTTACACAACAAATTTAAAAATTGCAACCACTTCTATTTTTTCAGGTTCTTTAAATCTTTGGGAATTCTATATATAGCTGCTTGATTTAACTGCTAGATTCTACATTTCTCAGTATAATTCTACTTTTTGTGACATGATGCTGAGATTGTGGTGTAACAATTCTCTCCCCATCTTTCTGATTTGTTTACTGCTCTCATTCCAGAGAATGTCTACTTTTGTGATGCAGAGCATGGCTTTTTTGCAGTCTTTTAGCCCTGTGCCAGGATCACAGGTGTTTGTAAATGGAGATCTCAAACTTCATCAGAGGCAGCCCCTTCCCCATGCTGGGCTAGATAGCAGATATAATGTGAGTGTTGTCCTTCCCCATCTCACTTTCTTCAGTTGGTTGTGTTATCCTTTGCCTATTTTTTCTTCTGCAACTGCTCTGGCTGAAGTCATATACTATATTCAGTGGACTCTGCTTAGGAAATTTGTGTTGCTAAGTATTCAGCAAGTTTGAAAATCCTATAAAATCTAAGGAGATGTGTCAGAATCCAATTATATTTCATTTCTAGTTATCGACTATGGAAAACCCCATTTCTGCTCTCTCTGGATTCTGTCATACTACGAAGGGGAAGGGGGATGAGCAAAGGGGTTTTATGGCTCTCACTTTCTTCATTAAACTTCAAAGGGACTGAATGTGGATTCTCACCAAGAGGACTGACCATAACAATATGGCCATAACCTTTCATCTACTCCTCTCTGAAGTCTCCCTTTTGCCAGCAGTAAGGGAAAAGGGGGGGAACAATGCAGCGCCTGGAGTCTGGGAAAAGAGAGGAGGAGGATCGTCGCCCAGAAGAACTGTGGGGTGGGGGGGCTGCTTGAAAACACTTAAAACATTGAAGGGTGGGAGAGAATTTTTCAGATCCTGTCTAGCACGCCTACAATCATTTTCTCTTAATAAATATGCCTGTTGGAAAAGATATTCCAAGAGTTCTGTATTCTTAAGATGTAAAGTGAGGTGGGTCCTTATATTAGACAGGATCTGCAAAAATAGTCCACCTGGAAGGGAGAACCTTGCCGGGGGACTTTGCAAAAAATACCATGTCAGACGACGGAGCAGGAAAGGGAGAAAGCCACCCGGAGAGGGAGCCGCTGCCCCGACTGAAAACCTGCCAGATGTCGGGATCTGAAAAGTCAGATTCCTCAGGAGAAGAGGTGGTGAAGATGCGCAACCAGAAACCTCGGTGGTCAATGGGCGTTGGAAAGCAAGGCGAGTGGGAAAAGAAATCAAGAAAGGTGACCCTGAGATGGGGGCCCACCCAACCAGAGTGGAAGCAGGAGATGGGGAAATCCCTGTACGCAAGCGAAGAGGAAGGGAGCTGGGCACCGCACTTGAGCTGGATCGACTTGATGAAGAGAACCCTCAGCTCCCTAGGAGAGGAGAATTCTGAGCCCTACGGCCACACCAGCTCCTGGAGCTGCAACTGGAGAGACACCGAGGGGGAAGTGGAAACTGCAGCCCCGGGGACGTCCGCTGATCCAGTAGTCCCCACTCCCTGCCAACCCGCAGATGGTGATATGGATGGAAGGCAATACCACCGACAGCGAAGGCACCGATCCATTCAAAGGCTCCCGCCACTGGATGTGAGATTCAAGGGGGAGCCAGCACGCTTGGGATTTTTCCTGACTCAAGTCCTCAGTTACATGGAGGAATACTGGCGGCACATCCCCAGCGACAAAGCCCGTATCAGGATCGTGCAATCTGCTGTGGACAGGCCGGCCGCAGATTGGGTGGTGAACTTGCACGACTCCAATGCCCCAGAGCTCAACGACTTCAACCGTTTCATGTCCTCTCTGAGAAGGCGATTTGAGGACCCCCTGGCTGATCGCAAAGCCCGCAAAAGGATCAAAACAATGAGGCAAGGCAAACGCCCGGTAGCTGAATATACGCAAGAATTCCGGACCATTGCCAGCAAACTGAACTGGCCGGAAGACATCCTCCTTAGCTATTTCAAAGATGGACTAAATTACGACCTATATGACACTTGCCTGCCCCAAGGGGACCCACACCAACTTGACGAATGGTACGTCCTGGCAGAGGAAGCAGAGATCGACCTACTGAAGAGGCACCGCCAAGGAAAACAATGGAGCTGCTCACCGCCTGAGTCGACACGTGAACCAGTGAAGCCATCGGCTACGGCCAAGAAGCAAATGGGTGTTTCAAGTGCGGGAGAGAGGGGCATCGGGCTGTAGAATGCCACTCAAAAGCCCCCCAGCACAACCCAGACAGATCACCGGCCAGCAAATCCGGGAAGTCTCCAGCTAAGCCAAAAGAACCTGCCATGAGAATGATGGAGGCTGCTCATTGGGGGGAAAGAACTTCACCGCAGGGCCGGTGGACGCCTCAGACGACAGCTCGGAGGGCGAACCCCTGGTAAGTGGACCCATCGCACCCATCCTCAAGACAGTGACTATATTAATTCCTCCCATGCCCGAAGCTGTCAAGGTGAAAGCCTTAATAGACTCTGGCTGTACCCGCTGCCTCATTAGCCTGACGCTAGTGGGAAACCTGGGCATTCCGTCGAGGAGACTGGAACAACCAATCTCATTTGGCCAGTTAGATGGGTCCATAGCTGGGGGGGGTGCCAGCCACCCTGGCCACTTTACCAATCCACCTCTCCCTGGGCAAACATGAGGAAGACATAACGTTTGTAGTAACCCCAGGCATGGAATGCCCAATGATCCTAGGGATGGAATGGTTAAAGAAATGGAACCCCTGGGTGAATTGGAGGACGGCAGAAATCAATTTCCCGAAAGGGGATCCTATGGACTTAAAACCCCAAGGGGATCTACCAAAATTAAGAATGGAAAAAGCATCCATGGGAGAGGAAAAGGGGCTACCAGAAATACCAGAGGAATACAGAGATCTTGCTGAAGTTTTCAGTGAGGAGAGAGCGGATGAGCTTCCCCGCCACCAACCCATGGACTGTGCCATAGAATTCAAACCCGGAGCAAAACTCCCAAAGCCCAGATTATACTCCATGAGCCCAAAGGAGAAGGAGGAAATGGAAAGATTCATAAAGAAAAACCTAGAAAGGGGGTTCATCGAACCTGCCAAGCCAAAAGTGGCCGCTCCGGTCCTTTAGAGAGAAGAAGGACGGCTCTTTACACTTATGCGTGGATTATAGGCTCCTAAATACAATCAGTGAAACCAACATTATAGGCTCCTAAATACAATCAGTGAAACCTACCCCTCATGAAGGACATGTTATCACACCTCTCAAAAGGAATTTTTTTTTACTAAACTATATCTAAGGGAAGCGTACTATCGCGTGAGAAGGAAGGGGATGAATGGAAGGGTGCTACCAATTCAAAGTCTTGCCATTTGGATTACAAGGGGGGGGGCGCAGTATTTATGCAATTAATCAATGACGTTCTAAGGGAGCACCTATTTAAGGGGGTCCTGGTTTACTTAGATGACATTCTTATCTTCACCGAATCAAAAGAGGAACATGTCAACCTAGTCAGAGCGGTTTTAAAGAAACTGCGAGCCTCCCACCTATATGCCAAACTATCGAAATGCGAATTCCACCAGGAAAGGATAGACTACCTAGGTTATCGCATATCCCCACAGGGCATTGAAATGGACCCAGAAAAGCTCAGCAGTATTAGAATGGGCACCACCTCACACAAGAAAGCAACTGCAAAGTTTCCTGGGCTTCGCAAATTTTTACCGCCAATTCATCCCATTTGCCCAGATAGCCCTACCCCTCACGAACTTACTAAAAATGGAGCATCCTCAGTACAACCTAGCCAGCCACTAAAATGGACAATGGAATGCCAAGCGGCGTTTGAGAGATTAAAGAGCTTTTTTCTGCCGAACCAGTACTGAGGCACCCAGACATGGACAAGCCCTTCGTAATACAGGCGGATGCAAGTGATGTGGCAGTGGGAGTTGTACTCTTACAAGAAAATGATGAAGCGGTATTGCAACCCTGTGCATATACATCCAAGAAACTCACCGAAACGGAACAGCACTGGCCTGTGTGGGAGAAAGAGGCATACGGGATTCAGTGGTCCTTATGTGGCGCCAGTTCCTTGAAGGCAATAAAATCCCTTTCCAGGTATGGACAGACCACAAAAATTTGGAAGCCTTGAAAACACCCAGGAAGCTCAACCCCAAGCAAGCCCGCTGGTCCCAATATTTTTACCAATTCCACTTTACACTCAAGCATTTGCCGGGGGGAAAGAACTTCCTGGCAGATGCACTATCTCACATGCCCCAATATAACAGCATGTGAGCCACCGACTCTAAACCGATGATGGTAGAATCACAACTGGCAGCGCCAGTAACCACCAGAGCCCAAGCTAAATTAAAACCACAGCTGGGCAGCCAAACCAGAATTGAATTCCGGAAAAGTTTGGAAACAGATGAATGGTTCCAGAAAAATAAACACGTGTGCACAATGAAAGACGGGCTGCCTCGGGTGGGGGAAAAGTTATATATACCAACAACCCATAGAGTCACATTCATGCAGCTTTGCCACGACACAAAATCAGCAGGGCATTTTGGATTTGTAAAAACATTACACTTAATTAAATGGCAATTTTGGTGGCCATCCATGAAAAAGGACATAGAAAGTTACATAGCCAGCTGCCCAAAGTGTGCAACTGCAAAGAGGTTGTAAGGGAAATCGCCCGGACTGTTACAAACAGTGGCAAATCCCTCAGCCCCCTGGAGGGAAATAGCCATGGATTTTATAGTGGAATTACCAGAAAGCAATGGGAATACTGTTGTCTGGATGGTCACGGACTTGTTTTCCAAACAGGTGCACTTTATCCCTTGCCAAAAGATTCCCACTACAAAAGCCTTAGCAAAATTTTTCGTCCAGCATATTTATAGATTGCATGGGGCACCCCAACGCATCATATCTAATAGGGGAGTGCAATTTACGTCTGCATTTTGGAAGGAATTTTTATCCCTCTTAGGGACCACTCAGGGACTGACATCTAGCCATCACCCGCAGGGGAATGGACAAGCGGAACATTCGAACTCAGTACTTGAGCAATATTTAAGATGCTTTCTTAATTTCCAACAGTTGGATTGGACGGACCTACTCCCCTTCGCAGGTGGCCTACAATAATGCAGTCCACTCCAGCACAGGTTACACTCTTTTTCAAATAGCTACCGGTCAAAGTTTCAACCCCATGCCAGAACTAACCCCAAATGAACCGGCGATCCCATCACTGAAAGAATGGATGGAACAATTACAAAACACCTGGCCAATAGTTCGAAAAGCACTAGATGAAGCTAGGCAGGCATACAAAGCACAAGCCGATTAAAAAAAAGGGTTGAGCCTATACCATTCATTATAGGAGAAATGGTGTACTTATCTACAAAATACCTAAAATCCCTACAACCTTGTAAAAAACTTGGACCAAAATATATAGGGCCTTTTCCAATTAAAAGAATCATAAACCCAGTAACAGTAGAATTACAATTACCCAAAAATCTCAGGCAAATACACCCAATTTTTCATTGCAGTTTGCTGAAAAGAGAGCATCGGTCACCTTTACGGCCAAAAATCCCCCCCTCACCTCCAATCATGGTGGAAGGCGAACAACACTTCGAGATAAAGGAAATCCTAGATTCTAGGAGATATCATGGGGCAACTCAATACCTAGTAGCATGGAAACACCTCCCTGCCTCACAAAAAGTGGGTCCATAAACGTCATGTCAGAGCCCCAAAGCTATTAAAGAAGTTTCATACAGAGTATCCTAACAAGCCAGACTAACTTTTATACCTGTTTTGTTTTCTTTACAAGTGGATCTCTCTTATTTTTAAGGGGGCAGGATGTCAGAATCCAATTATATTTCATTTCTAGTTATCTACTATGGAAAAAACCCATTTCTGCTCTCTCTGGATTCTGTCATACTACGAAGGGGAAGGGGGGTGAGCAGGGAGGTTTTATGGCTCTCACTTCCTTCATTAAAACTTCAAAAGGACTGGATGTTGATTCTCACCAAGGGGACTGACCATAACAATATGGCCATCGCCTTTCATCTACTCCTCTCTGAAGTCTCCCTTTTGCCTGGCAGTAAGGGAAAAGGGGGGGAACAATGCAGCGCCTGGAGTCTGGGAAAAGAGAGGAGGAGGATCGTCGCCCAGAAGAACTGTGGGGTGGGGGGCTGCTTGAAAACACTTAAAACATTGAAGGGTGGGAGAGAATTCCTCAGATCCTGTCTAGCATGCCTACAATCATTTTCTCTTAATAAATATGCCTGTTGGAAAAGATATTCCAAGAGTTCTGTATTCTTAAGATGTAAAATGAGGTGGGTCCTTACAAGATGTCAAAAAATAAAGGCCATCTGGGGGCAAGTAACAGCATAAGCTGTGATCCTGATTGAATTTGTGAACTGAGATTTGTGAACATTTTTTCAAAATGTTTTATTGATAATAAACAGTTGTGCTGGTGTACAGGTAGTCCTTGTTTAGTGATCACAATTGGGACTGGCAAGTTGTTAAGTGAAGCAGTAGCTGAGTGAAACTATGATTACAATCATACTTCAGCTTTCCTTTTTTTAAATGTTAATTTTAAAGATAAAAAACTGTATTGTTAGATACAAAATTAAAAAGGAAGCAAACCCATAAAAACATATAATCTCTCTCCTTAAAAAGAATGTTATTTGGATGCATATATTTGCATCTAGATATAATCTTGTTTTTGCTTATTCATTAAAGTTCCGAGATAAGAGTTTGATAATATTAAATTGTGGCTTTTTGGATTTTTCTCATACAGAATAATTATCTTGTCTTTTAAAATCCAATAAACCATGCATTTATCTTAAAAAATACAGGATACCTTAGTTGAAAGGAAAATATATATAACAAATCCTTTCAAAGTATTTGATTTTATGAACATTGTCAGTGTATATTTGGTCAGTTGGCAATTTACGAAATCTGAGCAATTATGAAAGGTTTTGTGTTTATATGAAACCAAGTCTTTTTACCCAGTAGAGTATTACAAGAATACAAGTTAATCCAAGATGGAAACCTATATGGTATCATATCTTTTAGTATATGTCTAAAAGTATTCATCATACATTCTGATGCAAGTTAGCAGTTAGTAAGATCCTGTGTCCAATGCAAAATTCTCTTCACTATGACAGGTATCTGTGATCAATAGTACAAGTCCTTTTGCACAAGACTATGATTTTGTGAACATTTTTGAAACATATGAGAAGAGGAATGGTGAGTTTTCACATAATTTTTTAGGTTTTTGTACGCAAAACATTTTTGTCTTTCTCAGATCATTTGGCTTAATATTAATTATAATTATTTCCTTTACAGTTACAACAGTTTTGTCTGGTCCCGGTCCCATTTGGGTGACTGGAAGATCACCAGATCAACCATTTGTGATCCGGGCCTTCATCCATTATCCAATGGAATTGATTGTATATCCTTTGGCTACCAGTTGGTGATGGTTTTGGTTTTTGGCATGATGGTTTATGGCACTTGGCCTCAACAACTGATACAACTATGGCTGTTGTATTAAGACTTGTAGCCTGGCTAACATTAGGTAGCTATGTTAGAAAAATACCATGAAACTCAAACAGGATGTATATCTCTAAAGAATGTTTCTAGCATTTAAAAAAAAAGCTTAAAGATTTTATGGTGCATTTTATGTTGGCCTGGGGGAATGGAGGTTCTCATTTCTTGACTGTCCCTGGACACTCTTGGGGGGGAGGTGGGATGCTTCCCAGTTCACATGACTAACCAAAAGAATCGGAAGTGCACATCCTTGCCTTTGTATGAAGATGCTTCAGATTCCAAATACTCCTTGACTTTTAGCACATATCAGCCAGGCTTCTGGGAGATGATGAAGTTTGCCTGGATGCAGTACATTAGCATCCTCCTGATATTTTTGTGGATTTTTGAAAGAATAAAAATCTTCCTTCTTCGAAATCAAGTGCTGAACATAGTGCCGGTGTCTCTGCTTCCCCCACTGTTGTCCTATAAAGAGCACCAATCCTGACAGAGCCTGCAGAGGAGAAAGAACTTTGCTCTCAGTGGCCTCTACTGCTTTTGCATTTGGAAGATGAGGTTTTCCACACGTTGGGTTCATACATTATTTTGCAAAGTTTATTGTGAGTTCTCAGTGTAGATTTTCTTTCCTGTCCTATTTTCAGAAATTTGTTTGTTATTATGGTCTATCAGATGCATATCAGCCATAATAAGTGGCAAGAAAAACCTTTTAATGAAAGTTATACAAATGAGTTTTACTGTCTGTAAGTACATAACTGAATCCCAGTCTTGATGGCAAAGTCCTCTAGAAGGAATTAACTACAGAAACAAAAAGAGAACTCCATTCTTTGAAAAAACAGATTTTCTCTGCATGAATACTGAAATAAAGAATGCCTTTGTTCTTTTTCCACTGTGTTTGCAAAATCCCAAGGAGAAAATCAAGGGCCATCATCAGTCAGGAGCTATTGTCTCAAAAAGCTTGGGTTCTTTCACCTGGCATGCAAGTCCAATGAATAATGCCAGATAGATGGGTAGTAAAAAAACTTTTATTGGCAAAGAAAATGGTTACTCAGAAGCAAGTTCCAAATGGGAGCACTCCTTGGAGCAGACCCTCTTTTATATAAATTTGAAAGACACTCATTTTCACGGAAATACTTATCATTGACCAGTCATTAAGAGCAACATCACACACACACACACACGTGTTTGTGTGTGTGTGTGTGTGTGTATATATATATATATATATCAGATGTTTTTTAACTCGAGTGTTATCTCTGCCTGTAAAAACTTTTCAGCCCTATATAACAAAATATTTCAACTTGCTGCAAGTTGATGTGACTAACAGTTTATTAACACATAAATGTAATTGGACTAAGGTTAAATAAATTGGGCCATGGATCATCTTTCCAAACTTTTGCCAAACTTCCTCATTCCTTGCAAACCTCAGCAATGAAGAGAAAAGCAGAGCTTCTCCCATAAAAGTTTTGGTGTCACCTGGTGAAGCTGCTTTTATGGATTTAAGGAGGGGGGAGAGAACTTCCTTTTCTCAACAGGCTCTATAGGTCTAGGGCAAAATGCTGCTTCTCATCATGGAGAGCTGCTGACCTAGTAGGTTCTGATAGCCCCTCTGCTTTAACTGCAGCACGGAGAGGTTCGCTGCTGTGGGTTGGCCGGTTGCAGTGGGGCTGGAGGGAGGGAGCCTGTCCATTAGGCATTGCAAGCTCCCTCCAGGAGGGAAGAAGTGGCCCACCCGCCTCCATCTTCCATAGGGCCAGTCCCTGATTGGCGCCTCCCTCGCTGACGCCCCCGCCCAAGCATCCCCCCCCCGCAGCCGTAGAGGAACGGCCACGTCTGAATGCCGCTCATTGTATGCGGAGCCGGCGCCGCAGCCTCACCTTCCTGCCTCCTCCGATTAACCGCGACCTCTAGTCGCCCGCCGGCACACACTGAGGTTAGGGGCCGGGATGGGGAGGGGCTGGTACCGGGTGCGTGTAGCGTCTGGAAAAGAGGAGGCTGCAGTTCCAGGTGTCGGGATGAGCGACGGTCGAGACGCGCCCTCTTTCTCCGACCGGGATGCGGAGCTTCTTCCCCACGGGTATCCTATCCATCAGCTGGCGGACAATCGCTCCTGCAGTACCGGGCGCCGTGCAAGCCACGAGGACGCGGGTGCCGAGCGGCTGGCTTGAGCGTCTGAGTAGGGACCGGGAAGAGCGTCCGCATCCGGACCTTGGCGCCGGCCGACACAACTCTCACCAGCTGCGCTATTGCAAGCCCGGAATCCACCCCCGCTCCGCGATTTTAGGCTAAATGTCATAGGCGGGCAGGGCCGACCTCCGAATCCCAAACCTTCTAGCTAGCAGGAACGGCTGCAGCTAAAACGAGCCCCCTCCCTTCAAAAATAGTTGTGGAGTTATTTTTGCGCAAGAACACTGTGAAGACTTTTCCCCAATAGCACTTAGCAATAGCACTTAGACTTATATACCGCTTCACAGCCCCCAGTCTAAGCGGTTTACAGAGTCAGCCTATTGTCCCCAACAGTCTGGGGACAACTACCGACCTCGGAAGGATGGAAGACTGAGTCAACCTTGAGTGGGTCAGGATCGAAGGAATCAAATTCCTGGCAATGTGAGCAGAGTTAGCCTGCAATACTGCATTCTAACCACTGCATCACCACGGCTCTTACGTATTTAAAAATCTTGTACTCAAGAAAAATCTTCTTCCTGTAAAAATCTTCTTGTACTCAAAGAGCAATTATTTTGCTTCTGTATTTTACTTGCTTTATGAGAGTTAAAGGAAACCTGAACCCCAAACTCTTAAACTTGTTCACTCCTGTAATATGAGAGAGAGGCTGAATTCTGTCCATGTAAGTTTTAAGGCTGGGTAGAGGAAAAGATACTAATAAATAATGCATATAAATTGGAATAGCAGAATTCTTATCTAACCTGTTTATTAACAACCTATATACATTTCTTTTAGCTTTTCTCATCATTGTGGATCCATGATGCAGTAATCTGGGATTCTCCATACAGTTCATTTATCCACCCCCAATGTGTAATTTGTAAAACTGCTGAAGCATAATTCTGTGAAACTGATGCTTTAAAAAGTGGTGATCACCTTCTTTCCAGCATTCCAGTTGTACTCAGCTTCACCCAGGATGCTGAGGCTTCGCCTTTCCAGTGCCACAACTGCAATTATCTTGGCAATCCAGACAGGATTTCTATTCTTTCTATATATTCAACAAAGTGGCTTCATTCCACCGTCTATGGAAAAACCTGCCCAGGTGCACATCCTCATCCTTTCCTCTTGGAGGTCAGGCTCTTCCTTTGTGGGGCAACTCTTCAGTCAGCACCCCAATGTCTTCTATCTGATGGAGCCAGCCTGGCATGTGTGGGCAACCATGTACCAAAACAGCGCCAAGGTCTTGCACATGGCTGTGCGGGATCTCATCCGGTCTGTCTTCAAGTGTGACATGTCGGTGTTCGATGCCTATATGCCCTGGAAGAGAAACAGAAACTTGTCTGATCTGTTCCAGTGGGCTGTGAGCCGGGCATTATGCACAATACCTGCTTGTGAATTCTTCCAACGGTCTGATATTACTGGTGAAAGTGCTTGCAAAACTCTCTGTGGCAAGTATCCTTTTAGTAAAGTGGAAGAGGCCTGCAAGACCTACAGCCATGTTGTCCTAAAGGAAGTCCGTTTCTTTGACCTCAAAGTGCTCTACCCACTCCTTGCTGACCCCTCCCTGAATCTCAAAATCATTCACCTGGTCCGTGACCCCAGGGCTGTCCTGAAATCTCGGGAACAATCTGTCAAAGCCCTTGCCCGTGACAATGGAATAATTCTGGGTATAAATAGCAGCAGAGTGGATGACACTGGCTTTAAAGTCCTGCAGGAGATTTGTAGAAGCCACATTCAGATCTATGAAACAGCTAGTCAGAAGCCTCCATTATTTTTAAAAGATCGTTACTTATTGATCCGATTTGAAGACATTGTGCGGGATCCTTTAATGGAAATTACTGCAATGTATACATTTACAGATCTTCTTTTGACCCAGAAACTTGAAAATTGGATCTATAATATTACACATGGACAAGGACCGAGTAAAAAGAGAGAAGCTTTCCAAATCACTTCTCGAGATGCGCTCAATGTTTCCCAGGCGTGGAGAAATGTTCTTTCATTTCAGAAAGTCCAAAAAGTGCAAGAAGTTTGTCGAGGTGCTTTAAATATACTTGGTTATCAATTTGTAAATTCTGAGAAAGAGCAGAAAGATTTGTCTTTAGATCTAATATTGCCATATCGGAGAACCCAATTTCGCTGGGCATTGTTTCATGAAAACTAGATCAAATATTTCCTTGTACATTTGTCATATAACTTGAAAAGATTTGTTGGTTTCAGTACATCTGGTAATTTCTCTTAGAACTTCATTTTATCAAACCAAGGAACTGCATGCCTTTTGCTTTTTCAAATTAATAATAATGGATAACTTCCAGACTAGCTTTATAAAGCAACATTGCAAGGAATTATTTTTCACCTGCACATGGGTATAATTTTGATATGCTAGAGAATGCCTTCTTGCTTTTTGTTTTTCTAAGTTCTCTTTCATGTGCAGGACTGCAATATTACTGAAAAGGAATATGGTTGGTTGGAAGGGTTGGGAATTTGTCACTCTGAAATGTTAATGCACTCACTTCCACTTGCCCCAGGGAACAACAGGAATAGAAATCCAGTGACTGGAAGGATTTATTTCATTACATATTTTTACAACCTATATCTCCTTTATCTGTGTACCCCAACATGCCACAGCTCTAAATTTGTCTCTGTGTTTATTATACTCCTGTTTTTTTGAATATGGGCACCCCTGATTATCTGTAATAGTGAGGATTTAGTTCCTAATGAAAATTACATAGAAAATGTATTATTATTATTTTGCAATATAGTTGGAAATCAATATCCTTGGGAATATTTTTATCATATTGAAAGTAGCAGTATCCAACACTGGGCAGATGAATATTGCAAATGTGTGCAATTTATGTTATATGCTAGCATAACAAATGGGGTAGACACCACAGATCATATGCAAAAAATATGCGTGTTTAGATTTTCATATATCTATGTAGATACCTAGTAATTTCTCTGTACTACCTCTGTGCTAGGTTTTGCTGGTAAGGAGCTGGGAATAAAAATAATTTAGATTGGAGAGAAAGAGGAGGTGGGGAGAGGAGGAGTGGCAAATATGGAGTTGGCAGATGGGAAAGTCTTAAAAAACACCCAGGAGGTTCATGGGAAGAGAAGGGGGTTAGAAGTAGAGATGATGGTAGCTAAAATGACCAACATGCACTTAATTCTAGCTGCTGTTGAAGATGGACGATTGGTTTTAATTTAGAGAAAAGGTGGCAGATCTTGCTTGAACAGAGGGGGCTGTGTTTATATTGCTGAAGGCTTATTTAGCCAAAATGGAATTATAATTACAGCCCGATACAAAATTTCTTTGGGGAACTGAAGGGATTCTAACGGGCACACAACACGTCCACACGAATTCTGCCAGCAACTTCCAACAGCCATAATGCAGCAGAAGATTTTTATCACATGGAGTATTCCAGAGCAGTTTGCCCATTCGTTGTGAGTTTACAGACTTAATATACAGTCTTGATCGCTTCATGAAAGAATCCTCAATCCTCAAACACCATTAAAAAGTTTTATTTCTTTTGGTGGCAGCAATACCCACTTTTCGACGGTCTCAATGCTGTCGCTGAGGGACAGAAAACAGTGCCCTCCTGTGGTCCAAGCCGGTATATCAGTCACCGAAAGAAATAAACCTTTTAAATGGCATTTTAAGTTTATTATTATTTATTAAGAAAACGTTACTAATATTAGGTTATCTTTTTCTGCCCCCACATCACAGCAAAAGGGCTTCTCGTCTTCCTATTAATATGGAGAAGGCGTTAATAATAAAGATAGAGAATAATAATTTTAAAATACCATTTAAAAGGTTTATTTCTCTCAGCGGCTGCAATATTCACTTGGACCACAGAAGGGCACAGTTTTACATTTCAAAGCATAAGAGTTTCCAACAGCCTCATCCATATCTCTGAAACAGCACCGTCTTGTAGACAAAGCAGGAACCACAAACGCCAAGAGAAATACAGTATTGAAGGCTCCTAGATTGGCAACAAAAGCAAAGGGACCCCATGGTGTAGAGGTTAATACAGCTGTCTAACATGGAGGGACAAAGATTGTGAATCTCTTTAATTCCTATTTTCCCTTGTTGGTAAATGGAAATGTAAGATATATATGCCTTAGAACAGCAAGCAAAGCACAGAGAGCCGTGGATTAGGGGTCAGGGTTAGGGTGAATATATGTTAGCTTTTAAAATTTGAGCTCTCTGTAAATTTTTGACTTTTCATGCTGAATTGGATTTTTACCAACAAATGCGAGATACACCCTGGGCTAATTCCTCAGGGAGAGGTCGGACCCGGAAAAAAAATGTTTTTTTTTTGCTTCCCCAGTCCGGGGAAACCTGAATATACATTTGCTTTTCAAATTTGAGGTATGTCTCAAAATTTGACTTTTGAGGCTCATTTGGACTTTTACAAACAAACACGAGATACGCCCTGGGCTAACTCCTGAGTGAGAGGTCGGATCCGGAAAACAAATGGTTTTTCAGCTTCCCCAAGGTGGGGGAACCTAAATACTGTATATGTTTGCTTTTCGAATCTGAGGTCTGTCTCAAAATTTGACTTTTGAGGCTAAATTGGATTTTTACCAACAAATCCCTGAGAAGTTAGCCCAGGGCATTTCTTGCATTTGTTGGTAAAAAGCCAAATTAACATGAAAACTCAAAATTTGAAACTGACCTCAAATTCGAAAAGTATACAAATATTCAGATTCCCCCCAAATTGAAGGATCTGAAAAACCATTTGTTTTCCGGATCCGACCTCTCCCTCAGGAGTTAGGCCAAAGAATATCTCGAAAAAACATGTGTTTTCCGGATCCGACCTCTCTCTCAAAAGTTAGGCCAGGGCCTATCTCGCATTTGTTGGCAAATAGCCAATTAAGCATAAAAAGTCAAAATTTGAAACTGACCTCAAATTCAAAAAGTATACATATATTCAGGTTCTCCACATGTTGGGGAACCCGAAAAAACATGTGTTTTCCGGATCCGACCTCTCCCTCAAATATTAGGCTAGGGCATATCTCGCATTTGTTGGCAAATAGCCAATTAAGCATGAAAAGTCAAAATTTGAAACTGACCTCATATTCGAAAAGTATACATATATTCAGGTTCCCCACAGATTGGAGAATGCGAAAAAACGTGTTTTCCGGATCCGACCTCTCCCTCAAAAGTTAGGCCAGGGTCTATCTCGCATTTGTTGGCAAATAGCCAATTAAGCATGAAAAGTCAAAATTTGAAACTGACCTCAAATTCGAAAAGGATACATATATTCCCGTTCCCCACAGGTTGGGGAACGCGAAAAAACGTGTGTTCCGGATCCGTCCTCTCCTTCAAAATTTAGGCCAGGGCCTATCTTGCTTTTGTTAGCAAATAGCCAATTAAGCATGAAAAGTCAAAATTTGAAACTGACCTCAAATTCAAAAAGTATATGTCAACGCTGCAAATACTGTATATTCTTGCTTTGACAATGTGCAGAACTGTCTGGTATTTATATAGTTAAACCAGCAACCAGGAAAGGGGGAGGAGCATAAGGATGGCCCGGGAGAAAGAAACCGGAAGTAAATCACATCTTCCAAGTTGATTGGAAGCTGTGAACCATGACCCTAAAATAAGGGAGTGGAAAATGTTTGGAATGTTATGCGTAACGGAAGAGAAGCAGATCTAAGCATTCCACCATGCTGTGCTGACGTATTGTAATCTTAATAAATGCTTTTAGGAGAAAACATGCCTGAAAGTCCTTTTAAGTGTTTCGTTACTCAGACACATGACATTATGCTTAGATCTCATCTCATTTTAAAACAATATGGGGTCCCAAACCCCATCCACTGCCTCGAAGTTTGAGAGGTACTGGTAAAGATTTGGGGAACAACAGGGAAATGAAGGAGAAGCAATTGTCTGAGACCAGCTTCCTCCTAGCTGAAGCAGCTTCCCCGGGGGGGGGGGAATCGACAGCCAGCAAGCCGGGGGAGAAAGGAATCTGGCAGATTTCCCAGTTGGGAGCGAGGCCAAAGCTATCGGGAGGGACGTCAGACTGTGATAAGCCGAGAGAAGGCACTGGACGAAGCAATGCAGCATTGCCAGCAAAAATGGTGAGTCACAGTCCTGAAGACATAAAGAATCCCAAATTGAGGCCTTTCCAGCAACTGAGCTCACCACAGCTAATAGAAATTTTACGGCAGCTTGAAGTGATGCAACTACCAGAACTACACCCGGTCAGTTTGCAGATGGGGGAGGCCCAGCATGTCCAGCAATCATTGGGCCTACAACAGCAGAATACACCACTACAAACCCCACTTGCACAGTCACCATTGGGAGGCCTGCAGCAGCAGGGGGCACTACCAGCCTCCACTGCCCAGCAACAGAGAGCCCACCAACCATGGGATTGGCAGGCAGGAAGGGGCCAACTGCAACTGGGGGCACCACATCAACAGCAGGGAGCCCAGCAGCCATGGGACCAACAACCGGGGTGGGACCAGCAGCAACAGCCCCAATGGGGACCGCAACAGCCTGTTTTTGCACCACCCTTCAATGCAACCTTCGATGGAGACCCAGAGAAGCTGATTTTTTTTCTCAACCAAGGGCGCACTCACTTGAACCATTGGGCCTACCATTATCCGGACCCAGGTGCCATGGTCGACGTATTTGCATCCAACCTAGAGGGAGAAGCAGCTGAATGGCTGAATAATTTATATAGTGAGCAAGCCCCCGAATTGGAAGATCCCCACCTTTTCCTCTTAGGTCTGAAAGAACGATTTGAGGACCCATCCATAGGCCTCAAAGCAGCAGGACAAATTCACAAAATAAGACAAGCTGGGA